GAACCGCTCCAAGTGGCCAACTTACGGCCCCTGCCACTTAAGACCGCCCTGCTGCAAACTTTAGTGCCTGTCAAAGCTGTGGGCGACTTCTTGTGAGCGCTTCCTGTTTGGAGTTTGTGCCAAAAGTACCTAAGGTGCTCCCTACTTCGTTTAGAGAACAGGTCATCATTCTATAGCTTTTCCTTCCTCTGAGGACAAGCAGGGAGCTAACTTAATTTGCCCAGTCTGGGCCTTATGTGGAGTGCTTTAGCCAATTTTGGCAGTCAGAGCAGCCCTTTGCGTGCTTCAGAGGCCCCTATAAAGAGCTGACAGTTATGAAACAGAGATTATTCCACTGGATAGTTGATTTGATTGACCTAGCTTACACCTCAGTTGGCTCTGATTGCCCTATTAGAGTGAGGACCCACTCCACTAGGAGGATGGACTCCTCATGGGCTTGGTCCAGCAGAGTTGGGGATATTTGCGAGGCAGCCAGCTGATCGTCGCCGTCTACCTTTGTCAGGTTTATAACATGGACATCCCTGCTCTTCAGGCATGGGTCTTATCCGCTTAATTGTCTTGCACCCCAAGTAAGTGGTTTAGTCTTGAATGAGTGCTCCGACTGGTGGCCTGAACCTCACTAGTTAGCCTATGTTTCTTAGAGCCCTCATGGCAGTGCCCTAGAGCTGGGCTTGCAGGATGGCTTCTGTTCTGCGCTTATAGCATGGCATTGTGGCATATCATTCCCCCAAGCATTATAAACGCAACATAAGAGACAGGGAACACTCCAGTTACTAATGTAACCTTAGTTCCCTGAGATAACAGGAATAAGTGTTGCATGCCATGCTGTACAGCTGCATGTGAGTCGATGCTACCGCTCCTCAGTTGAAATGATTCTGATGAAATGTCATTCAGTGTCGACTTACATAGTTAACTCTGCCCTATTTTTGGTGAGCTGAAATGGCATATGTTTGTGCAGCTGCACAAACTTTAACAAATCAGGCTTCAGTATTCGGGGGAAAACAGTTTCACCCAAGCATCATAAACGTAATGCTGGTTCCCGTTATCTCAGGTAACCAAGGTTACATTAGTAACTGGAGCGTTATACTACGATGATATCCACTCTGCATTCATGGGGGCATTGCCACTGTATGTATGTATGTATGTTGAGAAAAAAGATCATCAGGCTCTAACCTCAGATCTCCACCAAGAGGTGGGGTGTGCGAACTCGCCCTCCACCTCCACGGTTCTGATGGACAAATGACATCCCTCTCTCCATTCACCTATCTGTGTTTCAAGCCATCTATTCAATCATTAATTCATTCACCATATGTCTGATTCACCACACAAGTATCTCTGAAACACGTGAACAAGTCTATTGGAAATAGAGAGAAATTAGTCAAAACTCAAAGAAGTCACATTATGGCTTTAATGTGCTATTTTTTGTGCTATAATTTGTATATGCTACAGTGAAATAAATGATCCAAGATGGTAGACACAGTGGGATTGAAAAAATGTATTACAGTAAAATGTATACTAAAATCACATTTA